TGTGTGCAGGTGTGTGTGCGTGGGCTGTGTGTCCAGGTGTGAGTCCCCCCAGCCAGTGTGTGCGCTTAGCTAGCTGCCTTGGGTGTTTGTGTCCGGGTTGGATGCCCATCCGAGGGTCTGTGAAGGCGGGTGTGCCCGCTCTGGTGTTCATATTGTGTGTGTGTGTGTGTGTGTGTGTGTGTGTATGTGTGTGGTCTGCGGGTTGTATGTCTCCGAGGGTGTGTATCTGTGCGTCCACGTCAGGTTCCGGGCCAGGGCTGGGACTCAGCGCCTTGTGGGTCCAGGCCGCTGTGTGGTTTGGGGGAGGGGAGTTTGCCTCTCCCTCGGTGCAGGTCAACTGGTGTGAGAGGAGGGAAATGGGGGGGTCCTCAGCGGTCCTTGGGGGAGACGGCCATATCTTCCCCTTCCCGGTGGCTGGTGGTGGTGGGGGGGATGGGCGATTGGTAGGTGGACAGATGGAGGGATGAGAGGCCCAGGGATGGACAGATGGGCCCGAGGGGAGGCATGCAGACCTGGCCCTTCCCCACCCACCCCACCCCAATCCCCACACCCGCCAGATCTCCCCAGATGGGGCCAGAGTTGCCTGCATCCAGATGGCCAGGCTAGGGGACCTTTGGGCTGCTGGTGGGAGGATCGCCTTGGACTAGTGCTTTAGGATTCAGCTCCCCAACCCTCTGAGATTCGAACTGCTGAACTCTGACCTCTGGCCCTGGCTTTTGCTGTAGTGGTGGGGGGCAGGGATGGTGGGAAGGAGGGACGTTAGGATTTCTTTGGCCTGCAAAGTAGGTGGGCAAGAGTGCCTCAGGACTGGGAGAGATGTGTCCATGTATGCGGGTGAGTGTGAATCTGTGCTTATCTGTTGACTATGTCACTGTGGTTCAATATTTTGTGTGCATTTGTAAGTGTAAATCCCTTACAGGGCTGTGTGTGAACATTTCTGTTACGAGTTAACATCTCAGTGTCTGTGCAAAAGGTAGATCTTTTTGTACCTTGTGCTTGTTTGAGTGTGTATCAGCCTTGTAAGTGTCTGCATACTTGTGGTTCTGTGTATGTGTGTGAGGTGTATATCAGTTAGTGTGTACATTTGTGCGTCTTTTGGTGTAGGAATATATCAGCTTTGTGACTGCATCATGGGGATATGTGAAGTGGTCTGAGTATGTTTGGGCATTTAAGAGTGTGTCTGTGTATCTTTGATCGTGCAAGTGAATATCTGTTATATGTGTATGCCCGTGTGTTGGTGCAAGAGTATATCTGTTTTAGGTGCATGTACCTGGTTGTCTGCAAAGATAGATAGATACGTGTGTACATGCGCGCATCTGTGTGTACATCGGTGTGTGTGCATTTGTGTATGTGAATGTGCAAGAAAGAGTCAATGTTGTATATGTGTGGTTGTATGTGGGTGTGACAATCTTGAGGGTATGTGTCTGTCTATATTGTGAGTTCATTTATGCATCAGTGTTGGTCTCTCAAGAGTGAGGTTGTGTGTTTTCAAACATTATGTGCAGGATTGTATGCACACATATGCCTGTGTCCCTGGCACAAGGCTGACCCTGCTTCTGGACCCAGTGAGATTGGGGTTCACGTGGCGTGATCTGTGGTATGCTGGGGTCCAGCCTGGGGCTCATGGACACAAATGTGTCCACATCCCAGGCCAAGAGCCAGTGGAGGGTGTGGGCACAGAGATCATGCTGGTGTGTCTATGGAAATACAAGTGTAGAGACTTGAGTTGTGGGCCCATGTGAGTTTGGTGTGTCTGCACATGTTGGTGTGACAATGATTTGATGGTGAGCATGGGAACCTTTTGATTCCTCCCCAGCTCCTGGTACTACTTAGGTCCTTGAAGTTGGGGGACTGGGATGTGAACTCTGGAAGGAGGAAGCTGGAATCCTGGATCTGAAGGAGAAGGAGAATGGTCCCAACTTTTGGGTCTTGAGAATGGAAGGGGCTGAAACCTGGGCTCCTGAGTCTGAGGGAGGAGAAGGGTGGGGTTCCAGATTCTAGGTCTAGGGAGAAGGGAGCTGGTGTCACTGGCTTCTTGAGACCCCAGAAGACAAAGGCTAAAGTCCTAGACTCCTGAATTTTGGAGAGTAAACAATTCTGAGGCCAAGTCTCCTTGATTTCTAGAGATTACTCTCTGGGTCCATCTGCATTTATGCAGAGCCTGCAGCAGGAGGGCTGAGAGTGTGATCACACCGGGGACTTCCTTGGCTGAGATGGTCTCTGAGGCAGGTCTCCAGTGAGGAACCAGAAGGATGCTAACAGGGTCATTTTGTTTCTTTGTAGGTACTGGCCCAGGCCCTGACTTCCTGAAGAGAGGTGAGTGGGGTCCCTCCTGCTGGGGAGACGTGGAGTGGTTGGTCTTGCTGTGAGCCCCCCTGGAGGCCTGGAGCCCTGGAGCCCTGCCTCATAAAGATTTCAGTGCAGGGTCTGGCAGTGTCCTGAGGGGCCAGGTGCCACCCAGGCTAGGGATGGGGTGGTGACACGGTCAGGAGCATCATGTTTGGGTAAGGGCTCATAGGACCAGGGCATGGATAGCAGCTGGAGGGGTTTCCTCATGATAGCAGTAGAGGGTACAGAGAGTTCATGACATGAACTGACCCCTGCATTTGGAGAATGACATGAATGTGGTTGACCATTTTGTGTGTGTATGTGGGAAGATCTCCTGGTAGTCCAGCCTGCTGGTGGCTGAAAGAGCCTGAGGGAAATCACAACAACAGTAGCAGTAGACATTTATGTAGTGTTTACTCTGTCAGGAGCTATTCTAATCATGTTACACTGCATTATCTCATATAATCCTTACAATAACCTGATGAGGTAGGTACTCTTATTATCCCCATTGTACAGAGGAGCACACTAGGGCACAAAGAAGGTAAGTCAAAGTCACTTGACTAGAGTCACACAGCAGGGAACTGGGCTGTGAACCTCGGCAGCTGGGTCCAGTTTCTGTCCTGCAATGCTGCACTGCCTCTCAATAAATGTTAGCTATTTTCATTGCTATTGTAGTTCCTTCAACTTGAGTCTCACCCCAGCGGTGGGAGGCGAAGCTCTGTACTTCTCTCTAGGACTCAGATTGGGGTTCTGAGCCCTAGGGACCCACAGCCAGACAGGTGTAGAGCGGGGCCGCCTAACTCAGGAGTTCCACCTTCCAGGCCAGGGTTTTCTGTCCAATACAGTGTCCCAGAGGGAGTGCAAGACAAGGTAGTTGGGGGCCTTGGAAATGGTGGGACCCCCTGACTGGGCCTCTTTTTCTCTCTTTAGCCCAGTTACTGTCTCCTTCAGTCTCTGCCTCCCTCTTTGTCTCTCTGTACAATCTGATTCTCTCCTCCTTCTCTCCTTCTCTCACTTCCTCTCTCTCTTTATGTCTTAGTCTCAATTTTTTGTTTCCTCTACTCAGTTTTTCTGTCTCTCAATCCCTGTCTCTTCACCTTTCTTTCAGATCCCTTTCTCTCTCTCTCTTTCTCTCCCCCCCCCATCTGTCTCTTCCTCCCCCTTGTCTCTCACTGTCTCTTCACCTCTCTCTGAGTCTCTTGGTCCCTCCTGTCCACATCTATAGTCCCTCTCCCCATGGGCTGAAGGATCAGGGCCACATCAGGTCACAGCCCCAAACTGCAGATTCCTGGGAGGTAGGCCAGTAGGGACTGGGGTACAGGATGGAGTGAAAACAGTTTCAGGGATGCCCCCTTTGCATCCTTTTCTCTTCACCCCCACCAACCCCATGTTGTGATGGGAGCTGACATGTCGTGGGCTGCAGCTGCCACAGGGGAATCCCTGCTGGAAGGTTTTGCCTGGAGCAGAGGAATAGCATGAGTGTGTGAGTGAATGTCTGTGTGGCTGTGTAGGCATGTATGGGGTCTTGTATGTGTCCACAGATGTGAGCACAGAAGTCTGCCCCCTGCTTGGGAGCTCAGAAGAGCCCAGGATGAAACCAAGGTTCGAGAACTTCCCAAGGCTGAACAGGGAGACTGATGTAGTTTTCTCAGCCTCTTCCACCTTCAGACTCCCTTTACCTCTGATAAAGGATGGGGGCGGGGTGGTATTATCCATAACATTTAATGAATACTTACTGTGTGCCGGGCCTGTGCTCAGGGACCCCCATGAATGAGTTTACTGAACCCTTGCAACAACCCATTGAAGATGGTACAGTTATCATCCCATTTTACAAAACAGGCAAGTATGGCCTAGTTAGGGGAAATCATTGGTTTGGGGTCACAGAGCTAGCAAATGGGTAGAACCAAGACTTGAACCTGAATCTGTCTGTGTTTACAAAGCAGCATGCTTAGTGGGCAACTGGAACCATCAAATAAGTTATTTCTTTATATATAGCAACTACTCAATATAGATTTAAAACCTTATAGTAACTTTTATACTGCTTACCAGGATGTGGGGAGGGAGAGAGAGATAGAAACATCAACGATGAGAGAGAATCATTGCTCAGCTGCCTCTTGCATGCCCCCTACTGGGGATCAAGCCTTTGACCTGGGCATGTGCCCTTGACTGGAGTTGAACCTGGGACCCTTCAGTCTGCAGGCCGGCGTTCTATCCACTGAGCTAAACCGGCTAGGGCCAAAGCACTTTCTTTTAATAATAGTGCATACTTCTATACCTGGCACATAATGGACACTCAATGATAATAACACTTAACATGTATTGAACACATTTTATGTGCCAGGCATTGTTCATAAGTAGTACACCATTCTCATTAATCCATTTAACCCTCACAGAGGTAAGGCCTGTTTTTTTGTTTTGTTTTGTTTTTTTATCTCCTTTTTACAGATGAAGAAACCGAAATTCAGAGAGGTTCAGACACTTGCCCGAGGTCACACAGCTAGTAAGTGTCAGCTGGAATTTGAACTCAGGGAATATGGCTTTGAAATCCATGAATTTAAACCCTAGTTAGCAGTGATTTTTCAAAATGTTCAGTGGGTGCTAAAAGGCCCAGTCAGGGCAGGTGTCAACCTTCTGGTTAGGAGATTATGAGAGGTCTGGGAACCCCTAGGGGAGGGGCAGAGGTGGGGACAGGGCATTCAGGGGTGGGACAGTGGTAATTTATCAAGCAGCATTAATATATTATCTATTAACAAATGCATGCCAAGTGAGGATCAGTGCTGTTACTGTCCTATAGAACCTGGTTGTCAGGAAGGGAAGGATCTGGGTCAGACTCCTAGCAGAACATCCCAGGGCAGCCAGGCTGGCAAGCCAGCTCTATGCCTGGGTAACGTGTCTCCTTCTCCTTCAGGTCTTATTGTCCACTCCTCCCAACTTCCCACTGCACCATGGCTCCCGGCCCCTTCTCCTCTATGCTGCTCTTGCCACCACCTGCAGCCCTGTCTTTTCTGCTGCTACTCTGGGCAGGGGCATCTCGTGGCCAGCCCTGTCCTGGCCGCTGCATCTGCCAGAATGTGGCGCCCACGCTGACCATGCTGTGCGCCAAGACTGGCTTGCTCTTTGTGCCGCCAGCCATTGACCGGCGTGTGGTGGAACTGAGGCTCACAGACAACTTCATTGCGGCCATCCGCCGCCGAGACTTCGCCAACATGACCAGCCTGGTGCACCTCACCCTCTCCCGTAATACCATCGGCCAAGTGGCAGCTGGCGCCTTTGCTGACCTCCGGGCCCTGCGGGCTCTGCACCTTGACAGCAACCGCCTGGCCGAGGTGCGAGGCGACCAGCTCCGCGGCTTGGGCAACCTCCGTCACCTGATCCTCGGCAACAACCAGATCCGCCGGGTGGAGTCGGCGGCCTTCGATGCCTTCTTGTCCACGGTGGAGGACCTGGATCTGTCCTACAACAACCTCGAGGCCCTGCCCTGGGAGGCCGTAGGCCAGATGGTGAACCTGAACACCCTCACGCTGGACCACAATCTCATCGACCACATCGCTGAAGGTACCTTCGTGCAGCTTCACAAACTGGTTCGCCTGGACATGACCTCCAACCGCCTCCATAAACTGCCCCCGGATGGGCTCTTCCTGAGGTCCCAAGGCCCGGGGCCCAAGCCGCCCACGCCACTCACAGTTAGCTTTGGTGGCAACCCCCTGCATTGCAACTGCGAGCTGCTCTGGCTGCGGCGGCTCACCAGGGAGGATGACTTGGAAACGTGTGCCACCCCTGAGCACCTCACTGACCGTTACTTTTGGTCCATCCCTGAGGAAGAGTTCCTGTGCGAACCCCCGCTGATCACACGGCAGGCGGGGGGCCGGGCCCTCGTGGTGGAGGGCCAGGCAGTCAGCCTGCGGTGCCGTGCTGTGGGTGACCCTGAGCCGGTGGTGCATTGGGTGGCGCCTGATGGGCGGTTGCTGGGGAACTCTAGCCGGACCCGGGTCCGGGGCGATGGGACGCTGGATGTAACTATCACCACCTTGCGGGACAGTGGTACCTTCACTTGCATCGCCTCCAATGCCGCTGGAGAAGCCACGGCGCCCGTGGAGGTGTGCGTGGTGCCTCTCCCTCTGATGGCGCCCCCGCCGGCCGCCCCGCCGCCCCTCACTGAGCCTGGCTCCTCGGACATTGCCACGCCTAGCCGACCCGGTGCCAATGAATCTGCTGCCGAGCGCCGGCTGGTGGCGGCGGAGCTCACCTCTAACTCTGTGCTCATCCGCTGGCCAGCGCAGAGGCCGGTGCCTGGCATCCGCATGTACCAAGTCCAGTACAACAGCTCCGCTGATGACTCCCTTGTCTACAGGTGGGTACTTCAGCCCCAGAGCCTCCTCCCAGCTCAAGGGTCCCTTCTCCCTTCTGTCCACTTCCTTGGCCTTCTTGCTCATCTGGAGTTCTAGATGGCCGTACAGAGTTGCTCTATCTTCTTCTGTCTCACTTTCTGTCTCACGGTCTGTTTTTCATGCATTTTGCAAATCTTTGTTGAGCACCCACAGGAGTCAGGCTGGGCACTGGAGTTATAACAGTGAGTGTACCCCACATATCCCCACTCCCATGGAGCTTATGGTCCATATTCCTGCTCAGCAAAGGTGTTTGATTGTGTACCTTGTCAGTTAAACATTTTGGAGCATGAAACACACACACATACATACACACACACATTTAACAATGACATTTATATTTATAAATTATATGCCAGTGGTTCTGTAGCAACACTTTGGGGACATTATAGAACAGAAAACCAAAATATATAAATTTAAGTTATTTTCATTATCCACTGGGTTAGAAGCTGTTGCCCTGGTATGGACAGACATTTAAAGAGTTACTTTCTCCTGTCATCTCTCTTATTTTCTTAATTTCACATCTGCCTCTATCTGTCCCTTCTCTCCCTCCTGCCCTTATTGGGCACTGAGGCCCTGCTCTGTGCTAGGCCTGAGAGTGCTGGAGACACTGGGAGACCAAAAGACCTGTTCCCACCCTCAGGGACCTTATGGTCCAGAGGAAGGAGGCAGCTAGTATTCGCTGAATTAGTGCCTTGGCCTTGCAGTGTCCTTCATCTTGGTAGCTTTTTAAGTATGACTCACAGCCATAGCACACAGTGGGCACTTGATAAGTGGTTGTGGGCTTTGTGAATGGCTCTCCTTCCTGGCTCTGTCTCCTTCATGTGCACTGTAGAGCATCTGCTGTATGCTTAATCCTGTGTTTGACTTCACTTGGTACTGCCAGAGGTTTTAAAGCCATTTTTGGGAGCCCCATTTTTTGGTGTGCTCAGACCTACACCAAAAAGCCTGCCTCTTGGCCTCCATCTTCACCTTTCCCAGGGTTCTCTTGGCCACAGTCTTGGTACACGGTAGGTGCTTTCCCATTGTTGGCTGAATGAGTAAATGCCTTTGAAAACTTTGTCTCTGTCATCCTCATTTTCTTTTCTTTTAGAATCTGGATATCAAACACTGAATAGATGCCTATTGCATGTCAGATTCTATGCTGGGCCCTGGGGCCACCGAGATAGATCAGACACTGGCCCAGTTTTACAAACATGAGGGCACACAAATGAACAGAACAAAGCCCTTTATAAGGTACTACCAAAGATGCTACTTCATTTGATCTTTCCAACTCTGATGTGAAGCAGTGATGATACCCTTCCCATTTTATAGATAGGGAAACTGAGGCCCGTGGAGGGAAGTCACTTGCTCAAGGTTACACAGAAAGTGGCAGAACCAGGATTCCAGCTCTTACCCTTCTAACTCCTAACCCTGACCTTTTTATGTTGAACACACATTTATTGAGTACCCACTGTTTGCCAAGCAGGGATTAGTGGAGCTGGATAATACATTTCCATAAATAACTTTTGGGTTGTGACTCTCTACTTCTCTCTTTCTTTCTCTCTCTAACCTGTGGCCACTACTTGGTGGGGTGCAGGGAGGTTTTCAGGCCCCAGACCCAGCATGTATTCAGATGTTGATTCCCTTCTGTCCCTAGCTAGGCAACAGATGTGGGGGCTCTTCCCTTCCCCTGAGGGCTACAGTTCCAGTCCTCCCTCTCCCACTGCAGATGCCTGCACTATGGTGCTGTAGGGGTTAATTTCCTCACTTCTGCCATGGGAGGAGGTGACATCCAATCAGAAGCCTGCTTTGCTGCTTGCTTGGGTCTTTCAGCCTATCAGAGACGTGTGGGCTCAAGCTTTCTTAAGGAGCCAGCCTCTGTCCTTGAAAGGGGGGAGCCCCTAGCAACTGTTTTTTTTTTAGGGAAAGGAGCAAGAGGAATCCTAGTCTCTCTGAGAGGGGAGATTAAAAGAAAAGGAAGACTTACAGCCCGGGGCTCAAAGTTGGGAGGTATGAGGTGGAGGAGGAGGAGTGGTCTGTTAAATGGCAGGCAAGGGGAGCGTTGGAGAAGTGGGTGGGTCTTTTAGAGGGAATAGGGCCCTCACTTGAAGCCTTTTGGTTGGAGGGTGGCTTTTGGTGGTGGGGAACTTTCAGGAAGTGGGACAACTGCCCTAAGCTTCAGGACCAGAAGGTGGCCTGACTGGAGGGAAGGTGAAGCATCTGAGAGGTAAGATGGGGGCATGACCTCGTAGAGGAGGTGGAGCTCCTGTTTCATGGTCCCATGCAGATGAAGATGTGGTCCTTGTCTCTGGTGACCCACTAAGACCTTTGTAGGAGAGGAGAGCTTGTGAGGTTGAGTGATGAGCATGCGAATCTATGTGGATGTGGCAGTCCCGGTTAGCCAAAGCTGGACTTGGCTGACTGTGGAAGGGTGTGCCCAACAGGAGGAGCAAGGCCTAGTGGGAATGGTCTTTAGATGAGGGAGGGTGCAACTGGCAGTAGAGTGTGAACCACAGCAAAGGTACTGGCCAACACAGAGTGGAATGGAAGCTAATAATGATGAAATTATTAAGTGCCAGGCTTTGGGTATGTTAACTAATTCATACTCACATCATCTCTATGATGTACTAATTTTTAATATCCCCAATTGGGAGAAGTGAGGCTCAGAGTGGTTAAGAAAGTTGTATAAAGCCCTAGCTGGTTTGACTCAGTGGATAGAGCACTTGCCTGTGGACTGAAAGGTCCAAGGTTCAGTTCCAGTCAAGGGCAACTGCCTGGGTTGCAGGCTCAATCCCCAGTAAGGGGTGTGCAGGAGGTAGCCAAGCAATGATTCTCTCTCATCGTTGGTGTTTCTATCTCTCCCTCTCCCTTCCTCTCTGAAATAAAAAAAGAAAGAAAGAAACTTTTGTAAGGCTCTAGCCAGTTTGGCTCAGCGGATAGAGCATCAGCCTGTGGACCAAAGGGTCCCAGGTTCAATTCCAGTCAAGGGCACATACCTCAATTGCAGGCTCCACTTGGGCCCCAGCCCTGGTCAGGGCACGAGCAGGAGGCAACCAATCTATGTTTTTCTCTCACATCGATGTTTCTCTCTATCTTTCCCTCTCTCTTCTAACTCTCTAAAAATCAATGGGAAAAATATCCTTGGGTGAGGATTTAAAAAAGAAAAAGAAAAAAGGAAACTTGTATAAGATCACAGTTAGCAAGTGGCAGAAGAGACTCAAACCCAGGCAGTCTGGCTCCCAGAATTGTCAGTTTAACCACTTCTCTGCACTGCTTCTCGTTTGAAGGCAGGGGCCTAGAGCAAGAAGGGGGCATGTTTGCTTGGCTACATTTGACCCAATTACTTACCTGGGGTGTGAGTTGGTGACTTGTGGCATTATAGGGTAGGGCGCACACAGAGAGGTTTCAGGACAGGCAGAGTGGACACGGCCCTAGGCACAGTAGGGGAATCATCCCCAGTGGCTATTTTGGGGTGTGGTGCAGGAATATGTAGTTGAGCGGCTTGGGAATTGTCTCAGAAGATATATGCAGCTAGGAGATGAATTTGCCCAAAGATGGGACATGCAGATAAAGGGAGTGGCCTGTACACACATGGTTTCCCTGAAAGGGCAGGGATATAAGAGGAACTAGAGGGCCCTGGCTGGTTTGGCTCAGAGGATAGAGTGTTGGCCTGCAGACTGAAAGGTTCCAGGTTTGATTCTGGTCAAGGGCACATGCCCAGGTTGCAGGCTTGATCCCCAGTGGGGGATATGCAGGAGGTAGCCAATCAAAGATTCTCTCTGATCATTGATGTTTCTCTCTCCCTCTCTGAAATCAATTATATATATATATATGAGGGAAGCCGGAACTCCTGTATAGGGCCATCTAGTTGCAAAGTGGGTCAGACCCTGGTTCTGGAAGGCAGCTATGCTCACCACTATACCACCAACACCTGCAC